TATCTACGAATAAAAAGCATCGTATATATATAACAATTTATCAAATACATTAGTCATCAATGAAAATAATTACAACCACACCTTCGATTTAAATAGTGTCGCACTTATCGAAAGAGAAAGTAACTTAGACGGAAAATTTTTGAGAGTGCCACTCTAGAATCTTACCAAAATATACATCTGCGTCCCGGATTTGTTTTTTTGTAAGAGAAATGCTTCTTTCTCCAGACAACTTATATTTCTTTTATTATTTAAGATATATAATACATAAATTAATCTATAATATAATATAAATAACAAATAAATAATAAAAAAAAAACAATATTTACACGCTTTCATTAATCAGATATTAAATTATATCAGTTGGCTTCATCCATGATTTTTGAGCGCTCTTAAATTGAAAACAAATCTAAAAACTATCGAATGACTGTGTATAAATAATTATTTCGAAATAAAACCCTTACGTTTGCCTTGATAAAGTCCATCAGTATTGAATGATCCCATTTGAAAACAGTGCAAAGAGTTGATGGTTTACGGTTGGAAAAGCCGTTCAGGCTACCGTAATAGTCTACCGAGAACACAACACCCACTTAAGAAGTAATGTAGATCGTGGTAATTAATTGACAATTTCTCGCCGCCATTTTTACTTTAGAATCTGGATGAAAAGAAAGTATATGCTTACTGAATTTTTTTAATCATTTTAAAAATTGGTCTGGTTATCTTGTGCGGCGAATATTATCAGAAAACTACATTCTTAACTGGAAAAAGTGGAGGTCGTCTTATGCGCCAGCATATACGGGTACATATATATACATATATTTTAAGACATTTTATGTTTATACAATCTTTTTTATAGATACAAATATTTAAGTAAACGGTCTGTTTATAATAAACATTATTTACCGGAAGGAATGTCCGAGAAATTTTCATAGAAAATATTCGTCCTCCGACAGGATTCGAACATGTATCCTATACGAAACCGTCATATAGCCCGACGTGCCTTTTAATCGGCCACAGAGGGTCGTTCCGTTGGCAAGGTCGAATTTACTGCTTTTAAACTTCAATCATTAGTTTACATTTGATACGCCATGAGTAGATATGAATGTACGTGAGAGATTCACGGATGATTGAATTCTTTTTATAGATACAAATATTTGAGTAAATGCTCTGTTTTGTAATAAACAGTATTTATAACATTTACCGGCCTGAAATTTTTCATAGAAAATATTTGACCTCCGATGGAGGACGAATATTTTCTATGAAAAATTCAGCCCGGTAAATCTTATAAATTCTTTTTATTATAAAAGATAGCATTTACTTAAATATTTGTATCTATAAAAAGAATGTATAAACATAAAACGTCTTAATATATATATATATATATTCGAGAATTGCTGTTTGTTCAGAAATGATGCTTGACATTTTATTTTGTTAACATCAGGTTATAGCATCATTGCTTTTCGATCAAAGACATTTGGAGACAAGCGGCGAAATTGTATCGAGAGTATGAAAAACAAAATTGGAATTAGTTCATTAAGACAGGTACGAAATGGCAACACCGGTCAGACAGAAATCTTATATCTAAAGATCGCGGGCACATTGTGGACATAAAAAATTTACGTTTTTTTCAATTTTTTCTTCAAAATGGAGGGTGCGGGCAGATGCATCGGCGCGCCTTATAAGCAGCGAAATACGGTCCTTTTCGTAAGCAGTCCTTGCGAGCTGTTACATAAACCCTACAAGCAAAATTTACGTTCCCAAATAAACGCCTCTGATATACTCTTTCTGATTTTACACCTCGTAATGGCATATTATTCTATCAGATTTACGCTATTTACATTATTCGGACTACTGTCCTCATCTTTGTCGCCATATTTATTACATCGTTTCGGCCGTTATAAGTTCAGGTCGTTGGACTGTCGAACTGAACCCTTACTGGGGTGGACTTCTAGTTCCACGTGCCATATTTAATGGATGTCAGTTATCAGTTATATCCTGTTAATTCCCCTTTCCAAGTTCTCCACTGCCTTAACCGGGTATTGACCTCACACTCTTTGGGTTTTGTCACTGGATCTAACTAACGCCTTTATCTACTGTGCCATGTATCATTGAGGAAAGCTTGTGATAAATATGGCGACAAAGATGAGGACAATATTCCGAACAATGTAAATTGTGTACATAATACCTCATCTCAGAAACATAGACAGATACTGAAAAGCCGAAATGTTGTGACAAAATTGGCAAGAAAGATGAGGACAATTGTCCGAATAATGTAAATAATACCTCTCCAAGTTCTCCACCATAACTAAGTATTGAACTCACACGCTTTGGGTCTTGTCACTGGATCTAACTAACACCTTTATCCACTGTGCCATTTCTGGGTATTATAAACGTAATGTCTTCAGCCATCATTTTTTTTACCAGTGCTCAAATTGCAATTTTTGCTGTTATCATTTTATTTTTTTACCAGAGCTCATATTGTAATTTTTGTTGTTATTATACGTATAATATAAATAGTGTACATATTACCTCATCTCAAAAATATAGACAGATACTGTAGCAGATTTGTTTCTTTTTTTGACGGTTTATCAACTCTTTGTTCGTTACATATTTTTTCCGTTGGTTGTTAGAATTATCCTTTCTTTTGCGAGTGAATGTTACATTAAAAATATTTCTGCCAGTGGTCCGGTTCGAATCGCTCATGTCCCGCACAATAATCCCGACCGTGTGTCTAAACTCATCTCAGTGCGGGGAATGAGTAGACACCAGTCGTATTGGAGTCAGTTTTCCTACTAACTATACAGGCATTACAGCAAAAGCCTAAGCCTTGTGCATAAAGAATACTTTAACGAATTACGTTATACCAACTATGAGTGTGTGGTATAACAATAACTTTACATCAGTATGGTATAATACACACACACACACACACACACACACACACATATATATATATATATATATACATATATATATATATTTATATATTGTCATCCACAGTCTTTTGATATCTATATTTCTATCTATATATCTATCTCAGTCAGTTCGTGTCTATCTATCTCAGTCTGTTAGTATCTATCTAAACATATATATATATATATATATAGGATGTTTTGGTGTACAAGACGATCTTTTAACCTTAAAAAAATTACCCCCAAAATAGGTGGCCGTCTTATACTCCTGGTGAAAATGGCAATCTTAAATCATGTTAATAATAGAATAATGTTTTTTTTTTTTTTAGCAAATTAAAGTCTTACTATTTAACACCTAGCTAAATTGGGGGCCCGTCCTGGGTAAGACAATAAACTACATCCGCGTCCTGTGTAAGGCGATAAACTACATCCAACAGCAAGGTCTCTGATCAGGAGATTTTCTGAAGCGTGGAACCACCTCTTAATTGCTGGTGTTCCCAGGTCCAACCTGACCCTGGGTGGTAGCAACTACCTGACCCTGGGTCCCAACTATCGGCAAATCGTTACCCCCAAACTTTGCTGAGAACATTATGAACGTGTAAATATGTTTTAATACCAGAAATACTTTGTAAAAAAAATATTACCAGCAATACATTTTTGAAAAAAAAAGAAGATATTACTAGCTATACATTTTTTATGAAAAAATATTACCAGAAATAAAATTTTTATCGGCATTAGATAACTCATTGAGGTTGATATACCGTAAAACAAACCAAACTAACCAAATTGGGAGCTCAGATAAGATATGGATTCATATCTTTACCTATGGTATTTGTGCATATGAAAAAGTAACGAACTAGACTGAAATTCGAACCCTGCTCTTCCATTCCGAGACGCTATTCACACGCACATTTTTTTTTGAAGAAGAAGAAGAAGAAGTGTGCTTGGAAATTGTTTAGGATTTGTCTTGCATGCTCTTGAATATTTGATTAGAAGTATTTGAATTTCTTTTTTATTACATAATTTTACATTAATTTGATGGGCGAAAAATTATCGTATATTTTTCCACAGACCAGTAAAAGATTTGCCCGAATCCACAGGAAAATGGCAACAAACCAAATTTATTCATAGACATGATTTCTATTTACATAGTTATTATGAAATCGAATATGAAATTGGTTCTCGCGAAAAATACGGGATTTATTTGTAACCAAATCTATTTGGTAAAAGACAGACTGTAAGTATTTCCTCTTTATATATTTGTCTTGGTCCTTCAAGATGTAACATATCGCGGGCATGACGATAAACTACGTCCAGCAGCAAGGCCTCTCATCAGGAGGTTTTGAAGAGCGTGAAAGCACCACTTAATTGCTGGTGTTCCCAAGTCCACCCTGACCCAATGTGGTAGCACCTGTTAGGGTCCCAGCTATGGGCAAATAGTTACGCCCCCATCCCATTCTGAAAACATTATAGAATGTGTAAAAATAGGTTTAAATACCAGAAATATAAGAAATTATTATCAGCAATACATTTTTGAAAAGAAAATTACCAACAATACATTTTTGAAAAAAAATATATTACCAACAATACGTTTTTGAAAAAAAAATATTACCAGCAGTACATTTTTGGAAAAAAAAATATTACCAGCAATACAGTTTCGAAGGAAAAAATATTACCAGAGATATATTTTTGATAAAAAAATATTACCAGAAAAAAAATGTTGTCAGCATTAAATAACACATTGAGTTTGATATGCCGTAAAACAAAACAAACCAAACTAATATATACTGAGATAGATAGAAAGATAGATAGATAAGAATAGACTGAAATATACATGAACAGATAGATAGATAGATAGATAGATAGATAGATAGATAGATAGATAAAAAATATTACCAGCAATAAAAATGTTCTCGGCATAAATAACCCATTGAGGTTGATATGCCGTAAAACAAAACAAACCAAACTAAACGTAACATATCATGGCTCTCCACAGATTCCTTTTTGCATATCTATTAATCTATCTCTCTTTGAACTTGGTCCTTAATTCTTATATTCTTTATGTAACATAAAAGAACGATCTCATCGTGAATGGTAGTAACATTATATTCAACCTTACAGCGTCTTCAATTGTCGAAATTTCATGGACGATCACTCAGTAATGACAATATCTATAAAGGGGTCGCATTACGGTGATAGTTTTTGAGGGATGCTGTGGTTTACCGTCACTGCGGTTACGAATTCAACGTATCTGAGAGACCCTTCTCTGTCGTCCATCGGCATGGCTGATGATAACCCCCCGGGCTAACGTTCTCAGTTGACATGAAATGGAAAGACTATATTGAATCCATTGCTAAGTCAGCTGCTAAGAAAGTTGGTTCACTGTCTCGTTCGCGGTAGTCTCTTGCTCAGGAATCTATCCCACATATCTATAAGTCTACCAATCGTCCATGCTTAGAATATTTCTGCCACGTACAGTCCAGCGCCCCTTCTATTTACAAAGAGCTCCTTGATAAAATATAAAGAAGAATCAGCAATATCATTGGTCTTGATCTGGCATCTTGGCTTCAGTCACTTTCTAACTGCTGTAAGGTTGCCTCTCTGTTTCTTTTCTATAAATAATTTCATGGTAATTTTAAATTGTTGTTATATTCCTCCTACACAGACAATATTGTACATATGGGGACTAGTAAGGACTTCCATAGAGACAAAGAGGTATTATGGCGAATGTAGTAAGAGCGATGAGTAAAAAATGAGTTGTTTTGGTGTAAGGAATATAGTAGTATATTTTGAGTCAGTGATTGTGGCTTAGCTAAGTTTAATTATAAGTCAGAAGAAGACCATCCTCTTTCTCCATTCCCCATTTTGTCCCTGTGCCACATATGCTTCAAGAGTGGTCATCAGTGATATCACTGTCCTCATCACCGATTTCGGGTTTCGCATCATATCGGCTCCAACAGCAACCCACGACCTGATTCTAGACGAGTCAGGCCGCCTCCTTGAAAGCGTCGTGCTACGCACCACGACACTGCAAAAAAACAGTAATCATAAGAAGCTAGCAAGGCCGAGCTTCTTATTGACATAAGTCAGTCTGCATCAGCCAATGAAAACAGGGCTTTTCACGCTCCTCTAATATATACTGTTGTCTTTTTTCTCCATCCGGTTTAGATTTACTACTTCCGGAATCCATAACGAGGTGAGCTGGTATCTTTATTGCATTGTTTAAGCCCATGTTTTACATATTAAATACTAATCCCATAGCGATGCTAAATCTTTAACTAAACCTACACGCGTACGCGACCCAAATCTCTCCTATATTAGCACTTTCTAAAAAGAAATTCGCTATTCTAACTATCAGGTCAATCTGTAACGCTTACCTTATACTCTTATTCAAACAAAATCAATCACACACACACACACGTAAAATCACCTGCATATATGTTCCCGCATCCACACATAAATGTAACTACGCACACACACATGTATTGACACACGTACACAACTTCTAGCGCTAATTTACTTTAATTCACTAAACCATTCACTATAGATTAACTCATACTAATTTATCTAGATTTACTTCCGGGTTTTGTAGTTTACTGACTAAAATAATTCGATGGCCTAATAACAAAAAATAAATAAATAATTATGCTATCTACTCAAGTAACCTATACACATATTTACAAACTGATACATATTTCTCAAAATAAATCTACCCAATTAAATATAGCTGTTCGCTATTTTACTTAGCCATTTTGAATCTTAAGCGCAGTACTAGACTAGCGTTGAGATCTCGTAAATTTAAAATTGATCTGGCTCCATGTAATCGTAAGTTCTATGCTAACAGTTTCTTCTCTCGCATTTTCAGCTGATGGAATTCCCTTCCTACTTCATGTTTTCCACCTGACTTTAATTTGCACAAATTTAAATACAATGTCTACTGACCTGATTACTCTTTTCTTTTCCCGCTCATTATTAATGCTCTTGTTTCCAATTCTTCCACACCCTGTAACTCCTTGTATTTTAATGACCTTACTCTGTTGCGTGGGGGTGATATCAGTTAAATAAAAAAAAGTTCCTGCAAACATGGCTGTCTCTTGGGCCGATAAAAATGTCCTCTGTTTCAAAATATTCTTCACTCAATACAAGGCAGAGAATTTACTGAATAAAAATGTTGGGTAACAGGAGATAGTAAGAAGTTCATATTCTGGAGATATGATGGAAATGCAAACGTCTACCCTAGACTTCAAGAAATAATGATCTTTGTGATTAGGGATGTAGACGATCATGTCTCTCCACAACATCCTATACTTTTCAGCACTTAGAAATGTGTTTTTTTTTGTTTTTACAAACTTCTCCACGTACTGTTCTGCCATCCATTTAAACAAACTAGTTAGGTAACCATTTAACGCGTACGCACACGCGCACGCACACACACACACACACACACACACACACACACACACACACACACACACACACACATATAACTACACACACACACACACACACACACACACACACACACACATATACACACACATACACACACACACACACACACACACACATATATATATATATATATATATATATATATATATATATATATATATATTATTGGCAAGGTTTCAACATATTGCAGTTGTAGGGGCTGGATGCAACCGTAAGTTCTATAATAGCAACATCTTCTATCGCACTTCCAGTTTCTGAAGCACTTTTTTTCCGGCTTCATGCTTTACAGCCAACTTTGATCTTCAAAAATTTAAACGCAATATCAATGATTATCTGCTAAGATTAGTAAAAGAAACGCACTATCTTAAATTTTCAAAAATTTCAGCCTGAGCTTTGCGACTGCACGCTCCAAAAGTTTTTATCCGTTAACAATAACACATTTCTAAAAAGACATATTTCGATTCGCATTTAATTTTTCGTGTCCGCTATTACCTGGAGCTACTAAAAATAAAATAATGTCCATACCTGAGGACGGCTGAATGTACAGCCGAAAGTACTAGCTGATTAAAAAAAAAGACCTTATGCAACTTGAAGTTATTAATAACAAGGATCAGATCATTCATTGAGTGGTTTGCAATTCTAAAATTTTGTTTGCGAAATGATTTCGCCATTTATATAATTAACTTTACTAATCTACTTTTTGTATGAGTGATTTATTGTAATATATATATATATATATATCTATATATATATATATATATATAAAATCTGAATAATGATAATAATATTATTCGATACTTCCCATGGATAATTCCAAAGAGGGCTCAATGTTAGAACAGAGCAAATAATAATGATAATGAAAGCGGAGACTTTAGAAACTCATGGTAATATCTTATTTCGCAAGACCCATTCCTCGGTCTCGTCCCATCAGACCAAACAGTTTCAACAATATTAAATATCTATCTATCTATCTATCTATCTATCTATCTATCTATCTATCTGTGTGTGTGTGTGTGTGTTTGAGCTTGAATCAAATATAGGTAAAAAATAAATGGATTGGAATCTGACAGAATCATAATATATAGGAATTTAACAATCTAAATTGTTTCATACTTATTAAAGCTTCATCAGAAAAATAGATATGAAGGAGAAGAAAAAGATCTGGTATTTTTACTTTTGTGTTGTTTGATTTTCATTGGTCAGTTTAGAAGAAGAAGAAGAAGAAGAAGAATGAGATGTAACGGAATTAGATGAAAAAGAGCAAGCAGAAGAAGAAGGAGGAGGAGGAGGAGAAGAAGGAGAGGAAGAAGAAAACCCGTGAGATGTGTAATTTAGCAGAAAACCCGTGAGATTTGTAACTTTAGTAGAAGACAAAATTTATTAAGAGCTTCAAAGCACTGGAAATTGTGGAGGGTCATATTCGCCAACATGCAGAAGGGGCACGATACATAAATGTTGTTCTTCACGTCCACATTCTTTTTCATCTTCTACTAAATGCCTCTTCTCAAGTGTCTTCTTCCTCTTACCCAAACCGTGCCAACGTCCAGAAGGGACACGGCATATTAGAAGATGTTCTTCCGACCTAACTTTTTCTTCTATTAAATTCCTCTTCTCAATGGACTCTTTCTCCCCCTCCTCCTCCTCCTCCTCCTCTTCCTTCTTCTTCTTCTTCTTCTTCTTCTTCTTCTTCTTCTTCTTCTTCTTCTTCCCTTTTTTCTCAGGATTTAACTTACTCTCTTCCTTCCTATCAACACAAATTTTCATTCTCTTTGTCTTTTCTTCCCCCGGAGAAATGCTTCTTAAATTTCATTCGTTCTTTTCTTATCCTCGCCTACCTACCCTCTTTTTCACATGGAAATTCCAAAGGTAAAACGACCTTATTTCTTTCTGAGACGCATAGAAACTCCTGCTGAAATCTCATTCTTCGAAATACCTTTCTTTTATAGTCTAGTTTTAGGTTGCCTTTCTTTTCTGGTACTAACACAAACGGAAGAGGCTGAGAAAATCATCTCTCAACACATGAAAGCTAATTCACTGAACGATCCATCCATATATTTCACTATCTCAAGGGCATTGGTATATCGACGATAAAGATTGCGATTCTAAGCCGGAGTTCTAAACTACAAGTCGTTTTATGTAGAAAGTTCTATTTGATATCTTGGTGCGTATCTTCGGTCAATACAGACGGGAGAAGAAATGAGAATGGCGGACGGCAAAGTGACTTTTCCTAATAGAAAATGAGGATTGCACATTTACTCAGTGAACGTTTTTATTAACCTTCGTCTCTTCACACAATTTCAATTTGTGCCTGCATATCTATCTATCTATCTATCTATCTATCTATCTATCTATTTCAGTTTGTTCATTTTTTTCATTGTATCTATTTATCTATGTTTTTCAGTCTGTTAATATCTATCTATCTATCTATTTCAGTCTGTTCATTTTTTTATTCTATCTATCTATCTATCTATCTATCTATCTATCTATCTATCTATCTATCTATCTATTTCACACTTAATTTATTTCATTCTGCCTGCCTGCCTATCTATCTATCTATCTATCTATCTATCTATCTATCTATCTATCTATCTATCTATGGTTTAAGTCGGTTAATATCTATCTGGGTGTATACATATCTATCTATCTATCTATCTATCTATCTATCTAGACACACACACCCATATATATATACTTGTGTCTGTTATTTAATTCCATCTATCCATCTATATACATACCCAAATTTATATATATATATATATATATATATATATATATATATATAATGTAATTTCGTTCATCTTTCCCACTTTATCTCAATGTGCTTATATATATCTAGACTTCTATCCCTATCACTCTCTCTCTCTCAATATGAGTGAGTGTGTATTTCAGTCTGTTCCTATTCTTTTATGTTTTAGTCGCTTAATATTCCCCTATCTTTCACTCTCTCTCCTCCAGATTTATATATATATATATATATATATATATATATATATATATATATATATATATATATATATCTCTGTTCATATTTATCTATCTGTCTATCTCAGTCTGTTCATATCTGTCTATTTATCTACCTTTATATCAAAATATGTATTTATATCGCATTTTGTTCCTATCTATCTATCTATCTATCTATCTATCTATCTATCTATCTATCATTTTCAATTTGTCCATATCTATCTATCTATCTATCTATCTATCTATCTATCTATCTATCTATCTATCATTTTCAATTTGTCCATATCTATCTATCTATCTATTAGAGAATTCGCCAGCTGGCTGCGATGAACTTGTGCGATAATGGAAACTATTTCCATTATGCATTTGTGTAAATGCTAATGCTTCTTATTTACATGAATCTGAAAGGCATGTGCGGTGAGAAGGTGGGCACATAAGTGGAACGGCGAATACACATATTGCAAGAGATTTGAATAAATATATCTCAATGCAGTCCGAGGCAGATGTTCCCTCCTAGTCAATGACGGAAGCACCTAATGCAACCGAACATTTGACGTTTGCGAATTTTGTAAAGTGAAATCATTATTGATTCTGGGCGCTATAAAATAACATGAACTCAATTGATAGCTGCACCATGTTGGTATTAGATTATCTTCAAACTGTCTGAGAGCAAGCAATATGCTTGTGGAAGTTAGCGAGAATCGAACTGTCTACAGTTGTAATTGTCTGTTAGGCAAATTATTGTATGAAACATTGCGTACTCAAATATTAAGTAGGCTATTCTTTCACCATATCATTGGTTTGTTTGGATTGTTTATTACTAGCACATCAACATCCTTATGGGTCATTTAATGATGAAATTTAATTTTCTTCCAAGATTTTTTGTTTTTGTTTTTACTGTTAGAATATATTGCTGGAATTTTTATTTACTATTAAAATCTATTGCTAGAATTAATTTTCCTATAAAAATTTACTGCTAGATTTACTTTTTGCTACTAAAATATATTGTTGGAATTTTTATTTACTATTAAAATCAATTCCTTGAAATGATCTTTCAATTATAATTTACTGGTAGATTTATTTTTTGCTATTAAAATATATTGCCGGTGTATTTGTTTACTATTAAAATCTATTGCTAGAATTGATTTCCTATTAAAATTTACTGCTAGATTTCTTTTTGCTATTAAAATCTATTCCTGTGATTTTATTACTATTAAAATCCATTGCTAGAATTTTATTTTACTATTAAAAACCTATTGCGAGAATTTTTGTACAATTAAAATCTATTGTTGGAATATTTTTTACTATTAAAATCTGTTGCTGGTATTTTTTTTATTAAAATTGAAGGCTAGAACTTTGTTTTTGCTATTAAAGTCTATTGCTGGGATTTTTACTATAAAAATATTTTTTTATGCTTTAATAGTGTTTTGGCATGAGATCGGGCGTTTACACTGACAGTTGCTATCCCCCCGGGTCAAGGATGACCTAGGAACAACAGCAATCAAGAGGTGATCCCACGCTCCTCAACCCCACCCCAATCAGTGCCCTGCCGGATGTAGTTTATCGTCATACCCAGGATGCTCATCATATTCCAAGGACATACAGTTATATTCAAAAGTATTGAAAGGGTAAGGACAATTCTTTTGTATTTATTGTTACCTGGAGACATTTGGGTTTAAGGTCAAAAGATGGATACGAAACAAGAGTTCATCTTTTATTTCCTAGTTGTTTATATTTAGAGGTGTTAAATAATTTAGGAAATATCAGTTTTTGTTTGAACCCACCCATATTTCAAGTGATCAAAACTGCTGAAACATGTCATTGACAGGTGTTTCTTGTTGCTGAGGTGTTGCCTTTTAGTTTGATTGTTTAAACATTAAATGGTTTTGTTCGATAACTATTGCCGGCTTTCACCTGTAAAGATTGCATTTCATGTGAAAACGATGAAACAATATGAAAACGAGAGAGCTGTCTATGTGAGAAAAAAAAAAGAAGTCATTTTGAAACGGAGAAAATAAAGAAAAATCGACCAGAGACATCGGATAAACATTGGACATAGCGAACACAACAATTTGGAAAGTCCTGAAAAAGAAACAAACTACTGGTGTATTGGGCAACAGACATAGAACAGGTCGGTCAAGGAAAGCAACAGAAGTTGATGATAGAAACATTGTGAGAGCTGTGAGAAAAAAAAAAAAAAAAAGAAAAGAAACACTGAAATCAGCATCAACCTCCACAGTGCAGGGGGATGGCTTCTACAACACACCGTTCGAAGAAGACTTCAGAAACCGAAATATAGAAGTCCTACCGCAAGATGCAAACCGCTCATCAGCAGTAAGAATTGGAAGACCAGATTAGAAATTGCCAGGAAGTACAGAGATGAGCGATAAAGGTTCAAGAAGAATGTTTTCTGGACTGATGAGACCAAGATTAAATTCTACAGAAGTGATGGAATGGTCAAAGTGTAAAGAAAGAAAAGATGTGCTTATGATTGCAAGCATACAAGCTTAGCTGAGAAGCATATTGGAGGCAATGTGGTGGCTTGAACTTGCATGGCTGCATCTGGAACCGGTTCATTCATATTTGTTGATAGTGCAACTAACGATGCTAGCAGAGGAATGGATTCAGAAGTCTACAGAAGCATTTCTGTCTTCAAATTTACAGAGAAATGCTTCCACACTAATCGGGAGGAAGCATCCAAAACATACTACGAACACAACAAAAGACTTCATCAGGGGAAAAAAGTGGACAGTGTAAGACTGGTCATGTAAATCACGGGATCTTAACCCAACAGATCACCCATTTCAGCCCCTAAAAAGGGGAATGAAGGAAAAACAAACAAACAAACAAAAAAAACCCAAACCAACAAGAAGTAGAAGAGACCGCGTTAAATGTAATGTATTACAAATGAGAAATGCCACAGTTTGGTGATGTCAGTTGCTCGCAGGTTTGATGCAGTTATTGCAAGTGTTATGCAACCAAATATTAAATGTTATTTACTTTAAAACCATCTGTTCCTTTAATTTTGCTCACCTAAAAGTAGGGTAATTTGATACAAAATGTGCTTTGTCCTAAGCTGTTTAACATATCTCCATTTAAATACCAGGAAATAAAAGCTGAAATAATTCATCCTTTTGCTGTGGCCTGCTTACGGGCCAGAAAGAAAGACACGGAAGACGAAGGTAGATTGAACAAGTGTATTGAAATAACAGATATATATACAAAGCAAGAGTGTTAGTAATAAACAGATAGGTAGGTTAACACTACGTCCCCTCTTCCCAAGCGACGATATTGATTACTGTATGTACAGCAAATGTGGCACAAGTCCAAAAAGGGGGTTGGGGTAAGGGACGGTCATCACTTGTCTTAATTTTAAACTTAGCTAGCCACAACCACTGACCCAAAACATACAAAACAATAATCCTAACCACCAAAACACCACATTCATAATTACCTTTCTTACTACAACCACCAAAATACCTCATTGTCTCAATGAGAATCTTAATTAACGTCATATGTACAAATAATGTCTGGAGGGGATAAAATATAACAAGTAAAAGAACCCCAATGAATATATACAATATGATTTAAAATTATTTACATGAAACTAAACAAGATCATGTTAGTACCCCCCACCCAAACCCGAAATGTGACAGTAAAATCAATTAACAGGACGAAATCGACACGGGACTTTCCGTTTCCCAAGCGACTGCCCAAGAAAGTCTCGCGGTTAGTATTTATGAGAGGAGGAAGAGTTCATTCTACTTGTAGGAGGGTTTAACACAACGCTTTTGATCTTAACCCAAATGTCTTCATTGAACAACAAAAACAAAGGAATTAACCTAACCGTTCCAAAACTTTGGTGGGTAACTGTATACACTTGGAATATAATGATCATCTTGGGCATACCGATAAACTACATCCGGCAGGGCACTTATTCTGAGGACCTTTTTTTTGAACGCTGATACAATTAATGTTTCACCGCCATCGAGCAGACACCTATCACGGTGGATCTGTTTTCTCTCGAGGAGGCCGCTTGCACGTCTATTAGATACAAGCTCTACACAGACCTCAAGTGGAATTCATATATATGATCTATCAGCTTTGTAGCAAGTGAATTACGCCAGCGATTACCAGAGGTGTTTAATCGAAATAATATCAAGAGGGAATATTCCTTATAAGAGGAGTTGATATGTGGTGACCCAATATATGCTAGTTTTAAGCTTTGCACAGAGTTGACCAAAGAATCTTTACGGCCAACAAGGGCATAATCAGGTCTCGAAGCAAGTCACTGGCTACCCCGACATACAACCAGAGAGTAGACACAACTGGCTAAATGATATAAATGTGCAAAACGCCCCATCCGAGAGATAAGTGAGTCTTTTATATCCTCGCTAGAAGAATACTTAGACACGTGTTCAGCCAATAACGGGCCCAAAATACAGTAATGGTAGAGGGTGGCTCTGTGTTGTGTGATCGTAAGAAGAGGTTAAGATTTTATTGATCGGGAAAACAAACTCTGGAGCCTCTTCCACAAAGGAGCAGTACTCGGGGAGAAGATGTCGGGATGCAAGTTTCATCTTACAAAGGGAATGCGAAGGGGACGGGGATGATTCGTTCTTGTAATGGTCAAGGCTGTTGGGACTAACGAATGTACCTCGTCAGAACCAAAGTCATGGTAATAACAAGAGAGCAGCGAGAGGTTCGCGAAGTTTCGTCTGTGGGGAAAGAGATGGTAGGCGGGGGGAAATAGGTAAAATCCGACAAGACAGCGACGACGCTATTGAACTCTATCATGACTGGAAAGAGAGGACTGAGCTGTTTGAAACCAGATTTGGCAGCAATCATTCATTTTCGGTCTGATCTGACTCTTGTAAAAGTAGAGCAAGGGCAATCAGATACTTACAGGAATAGTAAAATGAACACTATTTCTCCACCTGTTTTAACAATAGCTTGTATATATATATATATATATATATATATATATATGAATTCCTCATGAGGTTTGGGTAGAGCTTGTGTTCCAATAGACGTTCAAGGCAAGCGGGCTCTTTGAGAGAAAACAGATCAACCATGAAAGGTGAAAGTTCGCCTGTCTGCTCGATGGTGGTAGAACGTTAATGAGGTCAACGTTCAAAAGAAAGCCCCCAGAATCACACGCCTTCATGCTGATATTAATTCGAAAACTAATTTGACGTATGAAAGACTTAGTTTCGTCTATCCGGTGTAAGACGATAAACTACGTCCAACAGCAAGGCCTCTGATCAGGAGGTTTCGAGGAGCGTGTAACCACCTCTTCATTGCTGGTGTTCCCAAGTCCACCCTGACCTGGGGTGGTAACAC